GCCCCGGGAGGTCGGGGTGCAAACGGGAGCTGGAGCGGCTTTGAGTAAACGAAGGGAGCGTGAATTGGAAGAGTAACCTGTTGCCTTCTCCTTACTCCCCAGACCCGACGGGCAGGCTGCGGCAGCTAACCCAGGGATGCTACAGCTTGTTCTGCTGGCGCGGAGCTCTTCCCGATCCCTCGGGGTTTCCTTGCTGTGCTAGAGCTGCAGTGGGGCAGCGCGCTGGTGGTATGGAGACCTTTTGAAAGTCTGAAACTTGAACAGACTGGACGAAGCGTCTGTTGCCAAGGGAAAATATCTGAGGGAAAATGTCGCATATAATCCGATTCCTGCGCCTTTTACAAAAGAAGTTGTTTGCTGTACAATGATTTCAGTTAAAGTAGCCAGAGGTGCTTAAGGAAGGTGTTATAATAGAAAACACAAGGATTACCAGAGGGAGATTGATATTTAGCATTTGTTTAAGTTATAAAGGCTATTCCTGGGTAGAGCGGTTAATCGCCTTGAAACTTTATATATTGTTCTATGGTTTAATAGAACCTGTACAGAATTAGGTAACTGTTATTCAAATTCTGAACTAGAAAGTCAAGAGCCTAGAGGATTCACGACTGCTGTTTTCTAGCCCTCTTCATATGGACTTCAAAGGACTTTACAAAAAAAAGTGGTGGTTTTTTTTTTCTTTTTTTAGACAATTCTCTTATCTGTAGCTCACATGATTATATAGCTGGATGGTGTACCTGCTGCTTTTTCTCCCTTTTGCTATTGTTGTACAAAAAGCTGTTGGCATAAACAGGAGATGAGCTCAGGATAATGTTTTGAATACTCCGTCTTCATAGTACTTATTTAATGGCGAGAACAGAGCCGAGGCTGGGCTCCCCTTTGTGCGTAACCCATAGCTGTTGCGTTGCATTAAATTTTTGTCCTGTGATAAATCCCGGTTTGTGGTGTTGATGCCAAGGAAGGGGAAGGCTGGCTCCTCTGCTGTGTGCTTCTTCCCCTCCTTCTCACAGCCCTTCTGTAAGAGCTTCTGAAAAATGCCTGTGGGAGTTAACTAAAGCCATCTTGTTTTTCACAGCGTAACTGTTGTTTCATTCCTATTGCTCTTTCACTTACAACTCTTGATTCATAACGCTTGGGAAATTTTTTTCTGTTTTCAATTTACTTCTTTAGGTAAACGCCGTGGCGGTGGAGCTGCAAAGCAGAAACAAGGCCGAGTCGAAAGGCAAGGCCAAGCCCAAAGGCAGGTGAAGAAAGACAAGCAAAGGAAGGGGACCAGGTACGCTGGGAGAAGATCCCTGTGCTGCTTCTGCCTGCCTGGGGAGGGGACGTGGCAGCCGCTCTGTCCCGGTGTGGCTGTGCTCCTCTTCACTTGGCGTGCCCCCTGCTCTGCCTCTGACTGAAAGCAGATTTATGTCTGTGCTAAAAGTGCCTTTCATATGTTTCTGCTAGAGCATATGCATAAAATATATGTACGTGCATACATACATCTATATAAAAAGATCTCTAATGTAATAATTTTACAATTATGTATATATAACTGCTATGAGAGAACTAGGCAGTCACGCAGCAGATGTACTGTTAGGTGCTGCTGCCGGTCTCCTTGAGCACCGAATTCCTGCATTTCAGTCTTTT